TTTAGCTAGTCGTGCATGAGGGGTTGCATGTGCATGAGGCTTGCATGGCGAGATGTGTTGGTGTGGCTACTGCTGCCGTGTGGTGTGTTGCTATTGCCGCTGTGCTGTGGTGTTGCATGGCATGCATAGTGTGTGTTGCATAGCGTGTGTTGCATGGTGCGCATAGTCTAGGTATCTCAAGTCTAACCCCATTGCCACTGCCCTTACCTCCTAGCAGCTCGCCACCACCGCAGCCGTCGACAGCAGCAGCCATTGCACCCTAGTCAACGCAGGTGTAGTCGCGGTCGTCGGGCCAGGGTGGGGATCCGGCAGAAGCGTCCCCACCCAGCTGCCTTTCAGGTAATTGGTTTATCTTTGTTCTGGCATCTGCTTAGTACCCCATATAGCATGATTTGTAGGTCCCCAATTCAACTTCAGCCCGTGCAATTTGTTCAGTCGAACGAAATTGTTCTCTGCCAGATTTTTGCGAAAGAATGACGAGATCCTTGAAATTTCTACTTCATTGATATGGCTTGAAGCAGACTACCAGCACCATGCGTTCTGCAAAATAGTTGAACTTCCATTTGAAGCCAAGCTAACGCTGGTCCTCGTTTGAGTGCATGTGGTTTGTGTGGAGTCCATTTCTCTTGAATCACGTAACCCCGAACGAATCTAGCTGCGTGTTTATTCACATGATGGTCATGTACATGTGCGTAGTCAGCTGTTGAGTCTTCATTACGTTGCATAGCTGAACTGTTTCTTGATAGATTCCCGTTTCGCCGTTCTGCAACGTCCGATGCCAAGCGCTGTCATCTATCGGCTCAACTCAGGGCTGAATCGTCGCAAGTATGGTGCTGGCACAAGACCATCGTCGTCCGACGGGAGCAGGGTTGTGGGCGGCTACCCAGGGCTGGAACAGAACACTGACCACTCTCTCGTGGGGGATAGCGGGATAGGATTGTGCTGTGCATTCATTCTCTCATGCTGTTGTGCCGAAAGAAATCCGGAAAGGTGTTGATCAACATCGCCTTTCCAGGTTTCCTTCATTTTTAGGTAGTGTGAGCATGGCTGTGCGGTTACTGCTGGTGTTCTGGCTCGGTTTTGTGAAGCATTTCGTTTTGGATTTGTAACTTTTCGATTTCTGTTGGGAAATTCCACCGTCTCCCCACCGGAATTGAAAATTTGGAATCCAGAAAACGAAATGATTTGCAAAATCTAGCAAGAAACCCACATGCATTACACTTGGGGCTGAATGTGGAAAATGCATGAAACAATTCAAGAGCCTGGGTAAAGAAAGAGAGGGGGGGGGGGGGGGAGTAGTATATTCATGAGGTACTACTGTCTGAAGGGGCTGTGTGCTTCAAAAACTGTCCTGCTGGGAGACCCATGCCCAAATTTTTCAGGGGGGCGCCATTTTTTTTTTTTGAATTGTGACTGCATATTCATTATGGACTAGGCATGGGGGTGGGGTGCTTAATTTAAATAATGAATGCATGATATTACTCGAGGGAGATGACCAGCCCATATCCAGATTCTGCAAGGACGTCGCACCACTCGCAGCTTTTCAACTGTCAGATATACTGGTACCGCGACCCTTTCATGGATGTGGTGGGCCGCCTGATTGTAGGTCACATGACTTGTATGCACATTGCTCTTTGTGCAATAAATCCGTACTCGGTTTACATTACCGCGACCCTTTCATGGATGTGGTGGGCCGCCTGATTGTAGGTCACATGACTTGTATGCACATTGCTCTTTGTGCAATAAATCCGTACTCGGTTTACATTCGAGCGGACGATATACTGGTACCGCGACCCTTTCATGGATGTGGTGGGCCGCCTGATTGTAGGTCACATGACTTGTATGCACATTGCTCTTTGTGCAATAAATCCGTACTCGGTTTACATTCGAGCGGATGTGAGCTCCACACACAAAAAAAAACATGGCCGTTATGTAGTTCTCATACCGTACAAATTAAGTTGCGCTCTGCCATACTACTCTAGTTTCAAAAGTTTTAAGTGCTCAATATTTTCAGTATGAGGGCAAAAAAGGCCAGGTTAGGCGAACATAAATGTTAGATACAGAGAAGCAGTTACCGATTGGATTACGTGTGTAGATCTGCCACAGGTTCAACAGCGACACAACAAACACTTCCCGTACAAGTAGTAATGATGCTGCCACACTGACACGTGTCAGTTCAGTGATAGGTTGACACAGTGCAGTCACACTCTCAGGATTTTCCGAGGAGGACATGCCAGTGAAGTTCCTCTAGCTCTGCAAACACTGGGCCATTCCCGACAATACACACCCACACTAGAATTTAGTATACTAGTACTAGTGTAGTGTACTAGTAGTAATAGCCCAGGGACATGGCAAGCAAGGATAGTCTTGTATAGTCACCAGCACAATAGATTACTATCTTGAACAGGTGCTTCGTAACGGGTACATGTGCAAGTGTTTTGATCCACAGGGTCATGCTCTCACCACATGGCAACAATTTCTGTGCAATCCACCAAGCAGCTGAAACTAAACAACAACACCACTACAACCAATCATTACTAGAAGTACTAATATAGTGCTACACTGTAGTAACTTTGCTGGCAAGACTTGTGGCAAGCACGGAGCCAATGCACTTGCCACACTAATTAACCACTTGAAGCAAACATGCCAATCCGCCTAAATTTTAGGCTTTATTGTGCAGACTACAAAGCGCCAGAGCAGCAGAGTTTAGAGCACATGATATATGGCATTACATGCACACACTGGTTTTCTAGCAGTTACCCAGCATGCTAGCGATTACAGTTATGCGCAGTCATTCAAATAGTATAATTATCGAGGATAACCCGAAACCAGTAACTGCATCATGGCATGTTCACATGTGTACCCTGGATGCAAGGGGAGCACACAAATCTGCAAGTGCACTGGATGCACACCAACAGTTACTGATATTCCCGCAACGACTAGTCGATAGTGGACAAGATTTCAGAATGGAACAGATCAAGGCTTGCACCAGGCAACTGCTCAATCCACATACAGGTTCACCACCGTATTTAAAGTCAACAAATTTTCGGCCGGATCGTATTTGGCCGAAATTTTGTTTTGCAAGGTTCAGTGTGACAGTGTATACAGGCAGCAGCAGTACAGGCCGAAAATTAGTTGCAGCCGGTTGAAATTTGTCGACTTACGGTACCCTAGTTTTACAGTGCGACATCCGTTACAAGACGAACCTCATTTTAGTCATTAGTAGACAGGGTGAAAATAGTGTGTGTATGTGGGGGGGGGGGGGGGGGGGACAGGCATGGGAAACAGTTACCCATTTTTCAACAATTGTCTTTCCATGCAATGGTGAACCACGACTTCACTCTGAACAAATGTGCCTTTATGAGCCCTCTACAAGTGTGTTGTTTTGTAGTAGTGACTAGCGACTGCATTTTCCAAAGGAGCAGGGGGCTCAATCAGAGTAGGAGGGCGCTGCGTCCCCCCCCCCCCCCCCCTACCCTCCTTTGCCTTGAACTAACCCTGGTATACCGGTAGATAACGATCCAAAAATCCCCTGACGCATGAAACACATTTTAAAAAGTCATTTTGATTAGCACTCCATTGAAAAATATGAATTTTTAGGACGAACAGAATATTCAAGATTCATGCTGTAGAATCATATCATTCGTGTTGAGAAGATGTATCCAAGTAGCCGATGGAATTGGAATAAAACTTATATACAGACATTTTTTAAATAATAATTGAGCAGTGCACATTGGCGCGGTGTGTTTTCAAAATCTGAGCATCAAGACGTGTTTGATGCGAATGCTCAACACATCAAACTCCAGCCGCACGAAGAATATAACGATCCTAGTATCGGTGGCAACAATGTAGCCGGTTTTCTTACTTGTACAATGTGTCACAATCATGGACCGGAGTGCGGCGGGCGTCGTCTTAGTTGATGGTCTGGAAAGAATGATGGCATCATCGGGAGGGTTTACAAGAGAACTGGGAAGCCACTCGGGGCGACAAATCAGTTGTCTCTCCTCGAGTACCATGAGAACAGCCGCTTACCCATCTGTGCTCCTCCGCTTGCCCACCTCATTCCTTCTTCTCCGACTCCTCGGCGGCTGGCTTCGGTGTCTCCTTCTTGCGATTCAGTTTTCCTCGGAACACTCCTTGTATTTTGGATGCAGCCTGGGCGACAGCCGGGTCCTTCAAATCAATGTCCACTTCCTCCTCCTGGGTGTTAACCTTGGCTTGTGTGTCCGACATTATGGAGATCCAGAGCTACAAGAAACTTGAACTAGCAGACAAGCAGTACGAATACTGATTCGAACAAGATGTTTGTGCGTTTTGTGCCCGGGATTTGTTTGATAGAGCCAGTACATGTAGAGGTGTACGAATGCTTCCGTGTCGTAGATCTACGTCGTAGCTGACCTAAAATGAGTAGAGCCAGGCTAGGCTTGCGACGTCAATCTGCAAGTCACGTCAAGACTCAAGTCCAAGAAAAGACGCGTCAGTTCTACGACATGCATGACGTCGACAGTCTGTAGTAGTGCACGGCGGTACGGTGTGTCGGTGTGCACCAGGGAGTCGTAAAAACGACTCCGGTACTCCAGGGCAGTGCAGTACTAGACTGCTGGCTGTGCTGCGCTGGTGTGCACACACACATGTGGCTAGCCTGGCACACGTACACAAGTCCTTGGCTTGATACGCCGCATACGGTGGCTGGCGTTGCGCTTTGCAAGTAGATCTACGGTATACCATGGTATACGCGGTAGTTTTGGCGTGCGCGTGGGCAAAATTAATAATTATACGACTGTGAAGCAGGGAGTCGTAAAATACCGGTATTTTACGACTCCCTGCTAGCTGCTGTGATCAAAAATACAGGGATTTTCCCGATCAGCCAAAAAGGTGTCAGGAACGCCGCCACCCACGCGAAGAAACACTGCACTAAAAATAAAAGTAAAACTGCATGACGAGTCGACTACAAAAAAACTGTGAAGAAACATGACATTGTTCTTTACAATCGTCAATCCCTTCATTCATTGCATTTTCGTAAGAGCTGTTGTAAGCGCATGTGTTGTGAGGAACCATGTTGGCGTTTGAAAGGAGTCATGGCCTGCTCTGGATGGTCTTCACGGGATGTTGGTTTCGCGGACACTGGCTGTATTCTTCTACGTTATCTTCCTGCCATGTCCCAGCAGAATTCAGCTGTTGCTTTTGGTCATTCGAATCTCTTCTTCATCCTGACTAGTCACCAACCCACGCAGTGGAGTTAGTGCTTCCTTCTTTGACTAGCGGACATGGCTATCTACATCATGTCTGGTCACGTACTTGCTTTGCCTTTGGTGCAGCAGAGCGAGATGGTGACCGATGTAACTGAAACAAATCGACGTAAGCAGAGAACTGAGTGGAAAAGTCGCCGAGGAAAAAAATTGTAGAGTGCAAAGCCAACGCCAGAGTTCAGCCTGGTGGCAATTAATTCTCTGTCTACTGCGGACGATGTCTTGTGTAGCATGTTACGTCTTGTGATAAGCCGTCAACCAATAGCACTAAGGTCTAGCTGAATTGTGTTGAAGCGAGAGTTTTGTAAATTCATGATTTTTGGCGACATGGCTGCACCGTATGCTCCGCCGATGTCAGCTGCGCAAAAGGCTCGCCTCGTGCTCCCACGGATCCCTCACCCGAGCGAAAGAGTAGGCAATCCCAAGAACCTGCAAGTGCAAGGTGTGCCCAGTCGTGAGCAGCATCATCCATCACCAGCCCAGCAACACAGTAGACACTACTTATCAGCAGAGAACAGAGGTATGAACAAAGTTGTGTGTGTGTGTGCGTGTGTGTGTGTGTCTGTCTGTCTGTCCAGGTATCTGTGTGTGTCTGTGTCTGTGTACGCATGTGTATTTGTTTGTGTGGCTGCCTGTGTCTGTGTGTGTGTGTGTGTGTGTGTGTGTGTGTGTGCGTGTGTGTGTGCATGGATGTGCACGTGCACACACACGTGCCTGTGCACAAACTCGCACATGATAATTATGTGTCCCCGTCACAGATCAAAATGACTTTCTTGTAGGGGTGAAACAATTATACCGAATATTCGAATACTCGTTTGGATTTTTCAAATATTATAATCGTACTCGGAATAAATCAGAGTACTCGCTCATACATGGTACATGCATTTGCCAGAGAAGTCTGCATTTCAGAGCAGCAGTCAGCAGATATTGATGTGCAGACTGTGTGGTGAACACTTGTACACGAGTAGAGAGAGCCCAAATGACCCACCAACCAATACACCCGAGAAAAGGACTGCCAATCGGTTCGATCAGGCTTGTATCATGTGATTTTTAAGGCCGTTGGTGTGTGATTTTTTAGGATATCAAGAATACTCCAATACTCGAATATTCGATCGGAGAAAATCAGAGTACTCGAACTCGGGTTCTCAGTGCTAACTTTCACCCCTACTTTCTTGTACGGTCCCCGGCATGCAGTGCGTATGCCTGTACTGCGTTGTGTAGCTGCAGACCCGTTCTAGAGGTAAAGGAGACCTTATTTTCTGGTTGTTGAATTTCCGTGCATGCAACTTTCACCATTTCTAAAATGTATGACGGATAGCACACACTCAGCAGTTACAGTAACGTAGGGCTCTGGAGACTGTGGGGTCACCGCTTCAGCCTGGCCCATCATCAGCCACTTGTCACCAAGGCAGTATCTTCTGTAATATTTGTACTTCAGCAGCTGTGTAAACTGTTAACCGTGTGCATCCACGAATATTTTGAACTACATCTCCTGTTTTTTTTGTTCTTGCCGTTTTTGTGCAGCTGGGCATCGTGTGCACAATGGTGCTGGCTTGGATAGGAATGGCGGCAAGAAAATCCCGTCACGGGCCATGTTTATCCGTGCTGTGGATCAGGTCAGTATAGTGCTTTCATACGCGACATTACGGTACTTTACGTATTAAAAGAGTATAATTATGAACCCTGAAACCACCAAAGGTGGCAGGTACAACATTACACCTTCAAGCAGCCGAGCCCGTTGGCAACAGACCCAACACTATCTGGCATAAGTGAACCCACCAACCGATCTAGCTGGCACACATTCACACACACACACACACCACACACACACACACACCACACACACACACACACCACACACACACACACACACACACACACACACACACACACACACACACACACACACACCACAATTTGTTTACTCAATATTACAGATGGCACATGCTTTTCT